CATCTAGATGTGTATAAGAGACAGCTCTCTCTCTCTCTCTCTCTCTCTCTCTCTCTCTCTCTCTCTCTCTCTGTCTTCTTCTTCGGCGTGGTCTTCTCTGCAGGTGCGCGGCGCCTTCTCCGACCTTCAGGTCCGCTATGGCGGACTATGACTCTCGGCGGCCACCTCAGCTATGGCGCATCTCCTCCCTGCACACGACTGCGCGCATGGAATAGCGGGTACCAGCTCCGATACCAATGCAATCAGACTCATTTTCTTTCACGCTCGCATGCATACAATCAGGCACACAGCAAGCTGGCGACAAGCGCCCACACAGAACTCAGAGATATGGCAACTCAGATAAGTGTTCGCCTCCAATGGCTATGGCGACTCAGCGCCCAAACAACTCTCTGTTCGTATACAGCGGATCACCCTGGATATCCCACACGCGATACTCTGCACTCACACAACACACACACACACACTACACACTAACTCTAGCTATGGCGGCTATGGCTGCAACTACCCTATCGCTGTGCTACGCTCCTCTCTCGCCCACTTCAGCTCCGGGCTCACTGCAGACCTCCTTGCACAAGTCGCTTGTAGCAGCGCTTCCGCATGGCTCACGCAGGAATGAATGAATGGCTGGGCGCTGCCTCTTGATTTATACTTCTGAAACTCGGTGGTCTGCCCTTTTCCATCGGCCCATGGTGCTCACAGTCCCTCGTGGTACTTGCTGGACCGGACTGGGACTGACTGGACCTTACCGCTGACTGACTGGGGACTCACTGCTAACCTACCGAGGTCGTACTGCAATTGCACTGCAGTTTAGTCCTCCACTTGACTCACCACTTGCCCACTTGCCCACTTGCTGACCTTCTAGAAGGACTACAGCTAGACTTTCTGGAACTCACTAAGACTTCTATTCTATTGATCTACAGATCGAACCCCTGCTACTTACGGACCTATGACAGCCTACCAACTGTTTACCACTACACAGGTCACAGGTTCAACTCTCGGGTCTACACAGGTACTGTACACGGGAAGGGTGAGGTCAAGGGATAGAGCCCTCGGTTCTGCATCTGCTACTGAAAAAAGGTGAAAACCGTTTCAGAAGCGCTGTTGTGGTCCTGTGTGGTGACGCAACAAGTGAGGCTTTGAGAGAGAGAGAGAGAGAGAGAGAGAGAGAGAGAGAGAGAGAGAGAGAGAGAGAGAGAGAGAGAGAGAGAGAGAGAGTAGCTTAGTCGATGGTGCCCAGCACGAAGAGAGAGTGTGAGAGACCTTTGTGTGTGTTTGCATTGTAACACA